CTTAGTAACCACGGTGATTACTAATTTATAATAATCATCGTAGCATGTCGCCTTATATGAAGGCTTTCGTTACATATATGGGCAAAGTACATAGGTAGGAAATCATCACATTTTTTCTCCAAAAAAATCTCAACAATTAGACTTCGAAGCTACATTATAAATTTATTTATCTCAATACCTTAAATCGGTACAAATAAAAGCTAAAAATGCACCTATATCATTCAATTACAAGATCTGTGAATACAATACCACCTGATAAGTTATAACATATACCTCATCACATTTTTTTCTCCAAAAAAATCTCAACAACTAGACTTCGAAGCTACATTATAAATTTATTTATCTCAATACCTTAAATCGGTACAAATAAAAGCTAAAAATGCATCTATATCATTCAATTACAAGATCTGTGAATACAATACCACCTGATAAGTTATAACATATACCTTATACCCTGAACCCTTACCCTAACCAATCAATACCTTATACTCTAAACAATTAACAGCTTATACCCTAACCATATACCTTATACTCTAAACAATGAACCGTAAAAGATTAACTATCAAGTTTAGTAAAATTGTTGACTTCAAGCATAACTCTACTCGATCATATATACCATGTACACCAAACCCTTATCCTAAACATCAATGCTTTATACTCTAATCATATAGCTACGACTTGAATCATAGCTCTACTCGTAACATGTACCCTATACACTTAACCCTTGCCCTAGGCATCAATACCTGATACCCTAATCATATACCAATAAGTTGATACAATTTTATATTTGGAAAAACTTGTATGTTACAAAGTAAAGAGAAAACAACAATTTTATATTTTTTACCAAATTAATTGTTGATTTAACACTTTGATTGATTTATCAAATTTAGTAAAATTGTTGTGACTTCAACAATAACTTTCTAAATAACATACACCCTATACACTGAACCATTACACTCAATCGACAATATTAAGTTAGTATATGTTGTGATGGCATACCCTAAACCATCAATACATTACACACTAACCATGTACCCTATACACGAACAAAATATCATAAACCCTAACAATATACCCTTATGAGTTATGATTTTGTTACTATAGTTAATTTAAAGTAACTTTATACTTTTCTTTTCAAAACATAGATTAAAATTGGATATTTGCTATGCGCTAACCATATACCCTATACCCTAAACCATTTATCATATACCCTAATCATACATCCTTATGAGTAATGACTTTGGTGCTTAGTTAATATAAAGTGAAATTCAGACCATGATTTTCAGAACATAGATTAAAAAGTGATCTTTGTAATTTCCTATTCTTATTAGTTTCATCTAGTTGAGTAAATTTTCTTAAGCTTTTCACAATTTGCAATGGCGGATCTGGGGGTGGCCACCCCGGGCCACGGCCCATCTCTGCTCTGGATCTGGAGCTAATATTGTCCTTATGAGTTTATCTATTTTAGCTATTTGACCTAGTGTTATTTTATAATAAAATTATGCGTAATTAGGAAAATGGGTTAGATGAGTATATTCAAATCACAACTCCAAATTTAGCATAAAAATTGTAGCTCCAATGATTCTCGTCTAAAGAAAAACAAACAATGAAATCTAAAATTCTAAACGTCTAAAACGTGAAAGTCTAAAAGAAGTATGCGGTTTGTTCCTTTGAAAATAACTAGAGCAGCTGATGAAAATAGGGATAGACACACAATACAAATTGATTAGTCGGTTTCTTTCTCTAGTATTCACATTGCCCGTTTCAACAACTACTATATGGAGAGAACCTTTTCAACAATGGAACAGGTGGAAAATGATTTGCGTAACAAAATGAGCGATAAATTTCCGCCGATTGGTTAACTATTTTATTTGAAAGATAGTAGTATGTTATTGGTATGGGTGTAGACTCCATTATTGATGAATTTTCTATATTAAAATATCGACGTGTACAATCGACATTGTAAAATAAACTTCATTTTTTTACGATATCTAATTTTCTGATGAAATGCGGCCTAGTACTCTACTGTATCATGGATCTGCCGCTGACAATTTGTACTTGTAATGTAAGACTTCAAAGTTACAAATCCATTCATGTTGTTGGGTTACGGGTTAGTCGGGTTGCGGGTCATTTGTGGTGCGTGTTGTTGCAGGTTGGTCAAGTTCATTGGGTTGATCGGGGGATTACTCGGGCCGGGTTTTCTTTTTGACAGCTCTAGTATTCTCACAACACAAATAGAATATTCCGATAACTAAATTGCTATATCCTCACTTAAAAGCCTAAGATCAACCTATTGTCAGATATAGGCATCAACGATAAGAACATGCTATAATTAAGGATGCTAGTATCAAAAGAGCAGTATTGTGTTGAATCCGAGCATTGTATAATGATGCTAACAAACCTAACGAAATGTTCAGAGATTGCACCTCCACTAAGACGCCTTGCAAAATTGCAGAAGTCGATCGAAGAGTGACAGTAAGATTGTTGTATCATGCATTCCTTTTGCAATCCCTAATATCCGAGCCAGGTTGTTGAGCACCGTCACGCCAGAGCCAACTCCCACGAAGTAGATGAAGAAAATGAGCCAATTTTTTTTGCAGAAGGCATCAAGGGTGGCGCGAAACTGGTTTGGCCAAGGCAAATGACACCGAGGTGGAAGACAGCTCTGGTGATGAGTCGATGAAAGAAGAAGAGGAGACGACTATCAAGGAAAAGCCGACATCAAAGGGACAGGCCAGTGAAGCAAAGGGGGATGCTAAACTTGATGAGGATGGATGATGGATGGATAATTAAAAATGAGAAAAATGAACACCCCTTGTGATGGGACACTATGTAATAGTAACTTGGTTACTTGTTCTTTTAATAAGATAATAATAATAATAATAATTTTGGTTAGTTACAAAATTAACACCCCTTGTGATGGGACACTATGTAATAGTAACTTGGTTACTTGTTCTTTTAATAAGATAAATAATAATAATAATAATAATAATAATAATAATAATAATAATAACTTGGTTACTTGTTATTTTACACTATGTTTGGCTATGGGTGCAAAGGGAGGGGTGCAAGTTTTGGGGGTAAATGTCATTCCCAATGCATTTACCCTCATTTGGTTAATTTGCAATTGTGCTAGGGGTGAGCGAATTGGGTGGGTGGTGGGTTAAATCACTGTTCCCCTTAACCCCCCAATTTGGGGTGCAAGAAGAGAGAGAGAAGAAGGAGGAAGAGGTTAGTGTGTAAGATTAATTTTAGAATTATTATAATATGTCTTATTATATTCAAATAATTATATTTGGAATAAAAATATGTAATTATTATTAAGATAGCAAGAAATACTATAATTACTATTGAATCATAAATCATACTTTTTATTGATTTTTATTATCATAGTTATTATTAATATAAAATTTGTCCGTGAATAGCAAGTTTGTCAAATTGCTCCAACTTTTGAATGTGTTTGACGAAGTATGACTCAAATTTATGTTTCGAAGTATAGAGAAGAAATGTCGTGGAAAATTAGAACGAGAAAATGTTTGGTTGACTCAGGTCAATTTGGTTGACTAAATTTGCATTGAAAACTATACAGAAGAAGTATCGTGTATATATTGAAAAAAATGGATCGATGACATTTGGAGAGGACTAAATAGGACTGAATGTAGTGGTGGTCGATCATTGGTCCTAAGATTCATCTAGCCAAATCGAGATCACCATGTCGACAACTAACCCTCGAGTGTGAGGCATGAGCTAGTTGCTAGTTATATGTCTTGGCCATAGGTTGGGCTTCGTGCTTTGAGATTGCTCGATCAATGATTATTACCATAAATAACTATTAAAGCATTATTGTCTTAATAATTATTTTTATTAAATTATATTTGTTAATATTTATGATTATTATATATATAATTTTTTATTTTATTATTGGTGATCGTCTTTTATAATTTTAATACATCCTTTTTATAATAATAATAATAATAATAATAATAATATAATTTTATTACTTTTTACTATATTTGCACCCTTCTACTTTTTCATCCAAACAACAATTTACCCATCCACTTACACCCTCCACCAATTTGCACCCTCCTGCAATTTGGCCCTCAACTTGCACCCCTATGATAATAATAATAATTATTATTATTCGAAATCAGGAATGAAGGGATAAGTTATGACTCCAATAGAATTTTTGATTCAAAATCTTCTGACCCACTCAATGATATCGATCACTTGTTTTATAATTCACACCTGTCCGAACACCATAAAACCACCTGTAACGACTCACCCTACTCAATGCGATCTAACCCTTTCATTTTTTAAAGTTTTAATCCGATTCCAAGACAAATAAATTATTTTCACTATTTTTTTTTTGGAGAGAGGTAAAAAAAAAAACAAATTGGATAACGTTTTCTCAATGACATTGCCAATCACCACATAAGTTTGTTCACTAAACTTGAAGTTGTAATGTGGTTCATGCTTCAATTAATCGGCGGATTCTATGGTGCCGGGACTGCATTAGTGCCGCCAGGTTTTCCGCCGTAGGATTTATGGTATTTAATGAGTACCATTGATCAATAACCACCCTTTAATCAAAACAGGTTGAACCAATTATATTTGGTTGAACCTTCGCTCTACTAAAATAGAGCAACCAGGCCCCTGTTCTCTTCTCGGAATAGTAATTACTCTATCCCACTGTTGATCCAAGGCTAGTCTATGATTATGAGAGCAACTGTTTCCTTTCCTTTCCTAATTACTCTAAAGTGAAAAGTGTGTTACTCCCGCCAGATTATGAGTCAAACCAAATCAAATCAAAGAGCCAGATAATTATGAGTGAAATAGAACCACTGTTTCTGCTGCAGTAACTCATCAAATAATCCGACATAAATGAAACCCATAAAAAAAAAACAAAAAAAGTACAAACGCAATCATAATCGAGTGATTGTACCGCTGATTTTCATTCAGGGGCCTTCAAATTTGAATCTAATTCCACCTTCCACATCCCTCTAGTAGCAATTTTTACGGTCGCAATGGAATGCTGGGACTGGGCCGTTATGCAACAATGCTGGAAGTGGGCCGCCATCCACCCGCCGGACATACTTGCTTCTGTAGGTCTCCTCCTCCTTGCCTTTCGGCATCATATCCGGGTCAGGGTCGGGGCAACGAGGGTCCCGCGGTCCTCTCTTCTCCACAATCAGACCCTTGATGACCAACCACCCCGGCACGATCCGCACCCATCTGCGCGGACGGACCAACCGGCCGCGCATCCCGTGCACGACCAGGCGGCGGCCGTCATCGTACAAACCCCAATCCACGACCAGGCGGCGGACGTCATCGTACTTGTGCCAATCCCTGACCCAAATCGGGCTGCCACCGCCATCTCGGGCCTGCAGGACCGACCCGTGGGACAGCCCGCCCGGTCCGAACGACTCCCGATCCACCCGGCCGGTCAGTACGCGGACCTCCGGCCGCTCCGTTTCGCACCAATCGTACTCTGTGTCGTCCGACGGGACGAAGACGGTGATGGCCTCCTCCGCCCCCACGGGGTAGAAATGGAGGAGCTTGGATACGAGGTCGGGGATCATGGCGGAGTAGTTGCCCCGGGAGAGCAGGGCCGCCCTGACTTTGGCGGTTTCGTCCCGAAGGAGGTCGGATGAGGGATGGAGGAGAAAGATCGACAGTGGGATACAGTAGAGGATGATGGGGAACAACACTGCGGCGGCGAAGGACGAGGGTTTGCGCTTGCCAGAAGCTGCCATTGCCGTCGATTGAACGAACTGATGGGGGCCGGGGGGTTTTCTTTTAGCAAATTTAATTTTGGGGGATTTTGTTTATACCATAGGATCGGAAAACAGATTGGTAGCCTACCTACCACGATTTTTATTACCCCAGCGGGACTTCTAGTCGACTTAGGAAAGGAAACAGTTGGTCGATAGAACTAGCTAGGAATAGGATTCCTCAAATACTTCCCAGGCCAGTTCCCTCTGATAACTCTAGCCGGCCCAGAGGGCATCTAGCTTGTTCCGCCAGTAACCTCCTAAACACTACACGACTAGCTAATAGTAACTGTGAAAAATCATAGTGGAAATTAAATAGAAATCGCTATTCATTGTATAACTATCTCTAAAATTAAATATACGTTAGATATTGTAACGGTGTATCCATACTATGTTCACTGAGTACTACTTGTGATTGCGAGTATAATAAAAATAACTGGCCAGCAGCTAGTTAATCAAAAGTTAAAGGGTTGGGTTAATACCACTAGGAAATCTGAACTATCAACAATGTGTCATTTGTGTCCTAAAGTATTCAATATGACATTTGTGTCCTAAACTATTTTTCTGTTAGAGTTTTTTTTTTTCATTGAATATTTTCTGTTAGAGTTAACCGACATTGTCTCTGGAAACTTGGAGGTCCCTGGGATACTGGAGGCTTAGGATTATTTCCACTCCAGGAGAAGTTGGGATGTTGGCGCCACCCCTCGTTATACATGTTGCTGTAGGGGTCATTGCGCCTAGCATTGTTGATGAAGTTCACCTTCTCCTGGGGTATAGTCGACTCTCTCATCGCCTGACAGTCCTCCACAGTGTGATGGGAGCTTTCGCAGCACTAGCAATGCATTGCCTGCTGTTGTCTTGTCCCTGAAACCAATCCAGAGCGGTCAATAGCTGAGACCAGCTTAGATACCACCTGTACCAAATCAGACGACTGGGTGGCTACAACATGCACACCCCGTCCTGGTGCTCATCTTGATCTCCTCTCAAGTAAGAATACAAAAAAAAAAAACCTTGGTAGCAATGTTGTTACAACTTTCCACACAACAACAATGAGTATGATATTTTGAGTCTTGTTTGAAGTATATAATTGTAAAATTCACATTTGAGTCCATTTGCATCCCCAATGTCAAAACATGGAATATTTGAGTGTCAACCATTCTCATAATGTGGGAATATGAGATATTCCAAAGCCATTAAAATTAGGTGATATATAGTATATACTAATTTGTTCCAGTTCATGAATTTGATAGTGGACAACGATATCAGGAGAAAATATTTGTTCCATACTATCGTCAACAATTAAAGCAACAATCTCATTTGCATATGACAAATCATATTTTCTACCATCCCCTTCTATTTTAGCAAGCAACCTAGTTTCATCAAGCTGAACAATAATGTCATTTTATCTATCCATTGTAGATCAAAATGTTTTTACTAAGATATTTCTTGAAGCTAACATCTCCAGCAATTGTTGAATAGCTGAATCATGCAAAAGGATTTGAAATTGGATCTATGAAGGAATAATCTAACCGGTTTTAGAGTTTAATGTATTGTCATATATGTAGAGTTGAGAAAATCTGGTATCTTCTCTTCAATAGGTTTTAGGCTACTAACTCGATGATATACTTCACCTCCAATCGAATAAACGTATACTTCTCGTCCATCATTTATAGATTGTCCAATTTATCTAAAACAGAAGTTAATGCAAATACCTCATTATAGCCTTAGACCCAATGTTGTCAGAGTCGAACCGGAGCATGACCCGGTAATGCAAACGGCTCGCACTTTAGCGGTCCAATCGACATTAGACCGTTTAAAAACCGTTAGAGAACCGGTATCTAATAAATGTTATCAGTATAAATAGTGAACATTTCTTAATCAGAGCTCATCTCTTTCCTTCGAAATTGTGAAATGGAAATAAGGATTCAATTTGAAAGCCCGACGTTAATGGTTTATTTCAATTTTCTACAATTTTTTTAATTAAATTTAGTGGCTGAATGGCAAAAACCGGACGAGCGGCTCGATCGGCTCGAACGGTTAACCGCCTCGGCCGCTCGCCAACCGCTACATAAAACTGGAGCGGCTTTTAGACTGTTCCGAGCCGGTTTTGTGACCGGGTGGCGGTTTTACCGGTCGGGCCGAGCGGCTCGGCTCGGCTTTAATAACACTGCTTAGACCTTTTCCAAATATGACGTGCCATTGAAGTATTTGCTTGTAGTAGCATATTCAAAATTTCTGGAGGCTACCTTCGTGGAGGGAGGTTCACTTTGCCTTGTCTGTTGTACAATGAAAACTTTGGTTATTAAAATTCCTCGTGGTTTTGGACTTTTGGCACTCTCACCTTTTCACCTCATCGATCCACAATATCAACAATATTTATACGAATAGTTTCCACTATCAAACACTCCAACAATTGCAAAAAAAATTAAAATTCCTATTTAAAAAATACATTTGATAAAATTCTAACATAAAAATAAATGAAGAAATGTCAAATCAGGTAAATTATTATTATTATTATATAATTAACCCGCAAGTTATCTTCTAATATGTTTACTGTTCCTTACGAAAAAAGCGGTAACCCTTGAGTCTTTGGCGAAACACTGTTCACTGGCCATTTAATTTGTTTTTTAATCCAAGTTCTAACCTACAGCCGGCTGTATGCCCAAAAAAAAAATTATGTGGGAAGGGTTTTCTTTCTAATTGGCGGGTTCTTGCATTGTATAAGTAACTAATTTCATTATTATCAACTATAATATTCACCATATCATCAATTTACATTAAACAAATGTTCAGTATTTACATTATACAAATGTTCCGTAAGATAAGTTTATAACTTAATTTTTTTTATCTCCTACATCCAATTAATTATACGTAAGCTAACTTTGACATATTAGTTTAATCATACGTTACAATCTAAAATTTGATTTTATTATTAGGCCACACATTATAAATATTTATGTAACAACGTTCTATAACCATTTTATCAAACCAAACCATACCAAATCCAATCAAATCAAAGAGCCAGATTATGAGTGAAATAGAACCACTATTTCTGCTGCAGTAACTCATCAAATAATCCGACATAAATGAAACCCAAAAAACAAAGAAAATACTAACACAATAATAATCGAGTGATTGTACCGCTGATTTTCATTCAGGGGACTTCAAATTCGAATCTAATTCCACCTTCCCCATCCCTCCCTCTAGTAGCAATTTTTACGGTCGCAATGGAATGGTAGGAGTGGGCCGTTATGCAACTATGCTGGGAGTGGGCCGCCATCCACCCGCCGGATATACTTGCTCCTGTAGGCCTCCTCCTCCGGGTCAGGGTCGGGGCAACGAGGGTCCCGCGGTCCTCTCTTCTCCACAATCAGACCCTTGATGACCAACCACCCCGGCCCGATCCGCACCCATCTGTTCGGACGGACCAACCGGCCGCGCATCCCGTGCACGACCAGGCGGCGGCCGTCATCGTACAAACCCCAATCCACGACCAGGTGGCGGAAGTCATCGTACTTGTCCCAATCCCTGACCCGAATCGGGCTGCCACCGCCATCTCGGGCCTGCAGGACCGACCCGTGGGACAGCCCGCCCGGTCCGAACGACTCCCGATCCACCCGGCCCGTCAGTACGCGGACCTCCGGCCACTCCGTTTCGCACCAATCGTACTCTGCCTCGTCCGACGGGACGAAGACGGTGATGGCCTCCTCCGCCCCCACGGGGTAGTGATGGAGGAGCTTGGATACGAGGTCGGGGATCATGGCGGAGTAGTTGCCCCGGGAGAGCAGGGCCGCCCTGACTTTGGCGGTTTCGTCCCGAAGGAGGTCGGATGAGGGATGGAGGAGAAAGATCGACAGTGGGATACAGTAGAGGATGATGGGGAACAACACTGCGGCGGCGAAGGACGAGGGTTTGCGCTTGCCGGAAGCTGCCATTGCCGTCGTCGATTGAACGGACTGATGGGGGCCGGGGGGTTTTCTTTTAGCAAATTTATTTTCAGGGGATTTTGTTTATACCATCGGATCGGAAAACAGATTGGTAGCCTACCACGATTTTTATTACCCCACCGGGACTTCTAGTCGACTTAGGAAAGGAAACAGTTACGTTGGTCGATAGAACTAGCTAGGAATAGGATTCCTCAAATACTTCCCAGGCCAGTTCCCTCTGATAACCTCCTAAACACTACACGACTAGCAAATAGTAACAGTGAAAAATCACGGTGTATCCATACTATTCACTGAGTACTACTTGATTGCGAGTATAATAAAAATAACTGGCCAGCAGCTAGTTAATCAAAAGTTAAAAGGGTTGGGTTAATACCACTAAGAAATCTGAACTATCAACAATGTGTCATTTGTATCCTAAAGTATTCAATATGACATTTGTGTCCTAAACTATTTTTGTGAGTAGAGTTTTTTTTTCGTTGAATATTTTCTGTTAGAGTTAACCGACATTGACCGTTAATTTTTAACAGAAAGTCTAATCAACACTGATGTGGCATCTGACGTGGAACTTTTATTATTATTTTTTATTTTCCTTATTACTTAAAATATTTTAATTAATAAATTGGAAATTGAAACATCCGCCATCACCAAAACCCTCCTCCTCTGCGAATCCTCTCCTTTGCTTCCCGACTCCCGAGCCGCCGGAAACTCCAGGCCACAGCCGCACGTCCACCATCGTCGATCCAACAAGGAGATCGGACAAAGCGGTCGCATCGGTGGCATGCGACGAGAAAAAAGAAGAGGTTGATCGTCACCAGTGGGGGGCTAAATCACCGAGATGGGAGAAGAAGAGCTTGCAAAAAT